GAAAGTTCGCGCCTGTCGAGGGTAAGATGACGAGTTGGCTGCTGATGGCGTAAGGAGGCAAAGGGTAGGGGGGGAAGAAGATGGCGCTCGTTTTTCCCGGGGCTGTTTTTTTCTTTTTTTTTCCTTCCTTCGTCATTATCTATACGGTACGCGAAAAAAGGAGGGCAAAAACAAAAAAAAATAATAACAGAGACGATTTCAAGAGTTTTCCTCATTATTGTTTCCACATTTTTCATTTTCACGCAATTACGAGGGATCCCTGGTGCTGTACACCAAACAAACGTGTGCATACACGTGCATTCGTTCGCTCATCCATTCATTAATCAGAGAGCATGGACATTATACCCCGTTGACTTGAAAAAAAAAAGTCTTTTTGCGAGCGCAGGCGAGCTGATACGGCAGCACAGAGTCCACAACAGTGGATGAGAGGACGAGGGAGAAAGAGGGAAGAAAAATTCAGCCGTCCGTCACGGACTTGCCCAGTGGAAGCTCAGGCTTTCCCTTTTCATCCTTTCTCTGTTTCCGTGTTTCTTTGTGCGCACACGTATACACCACGTGAAAGGGACGAGCATCGGGCTCGAGCTGCTTTTACGCGTGTAACGTTGCAGAGGGTCGGGGTTACACACCCTCTCTCTGCGTGTTTGATTTGCGCTAATTGTAAAAAAGGAGCCCCGGAGGAGAGGGGATGGAGGAACACTGGCCCCGGCTTGATTATACGGATGATGTTACTTGTCCGGCAAGTGACGGATTACGTACAAATAGCATTGTAATCTACCGAGCGTTTTTTTTTAAAGAGGAAGTAAAACTATAAGCTTCGAGGGTGAGATAAGTACTTTTTCAATAACATTGTATTTATAGCAAGCTGAGCTTTTTTTCAACTATAATCAATCGTCAGGCGTTTCGTGTACTAAAAATATTGTGAGCTATGATTGCTAAATTACTAGAATGACCTTTGTATGAAATCACGGGAAATGAAATAATACCAAACTAAACTTCAGCACTCGAAAGGTTTAAGTAGAATGAGTCAAAACTCATGGAAACTTATTCCATGGAGACGGATTCCAGCCGGACTCTCGATTCAAATAACTTTCAATGGGAGCAGCATGTATACACATCCTCGGCACGCTCGAGCCAATCAAACGTCGAAAAACTATTTTCTCGAGCGGCGCTCCTTTAATTTTTCGCGCCAAGGAATCCGTCCGGGAGATTAACGTCGCTGAAATTTATCGCCGCTCCGACGCCCCCGAAGGAAGGAGGGAGAGTAAATCAAAGGAGGCGCCGACTCGTTTAATGACGGCATCAATAAGGATTTTAATTACTCAATTATGACGCCCACTCCTTACTTTCGTATCTCCTTTCGCCAGTCATCCCCCGCAAGGCATTTTTTACCTTACACCCTCTGGAAACCTGACCAACCGAGAATGTATTCAATTTCCAGGCAATATGCCCCTTCTACGAATCAAAGTGCGAGACCAGAGAACGAACAATCGGAGCCAATCAATTGGCCAAAGTGAGAGGAAGGACTCTCCGAGTCAACACTCGGAACGGGTGTCGTTAGATCTGATCTCCTCTCAGCGATAACAGCAATGCAGCCTTTAACTTTCTCGTCGAGTTTATTTGTCCACGATGACGCAATGGTGCCGTTCGAGGCTGGAAATATTTTATATTGAATTTCGGTAAGAATACATACGAGTAGGTGGTACGCTTGGCAGTGAAGGAAAAAAAAAAAAAAAACAAAAAAGAAAAGTCCTCGAATAAGGGAAAACTCGTTGAAGGAACGGAGCGATGGCAATTGTAGCCAAACTTTGCTGCCAAGACCGAGTAGAAAACGAACGAGGGCCTTCCACTTTCGTGTATAACCGGACAAGTGCTCTGGAAAAATGCTTTTCAAACTCCCCTTATTCCCTCTCTTTGTACACAACAAGCACCATCAGGTTGGCGCTGTGCAAAAAAGCTTATTCCCGTAGCTGCAAGAAAGTCAGAAAGAGAGAGGGTAATGTTTAAGGATTATTCCACGTCAAACGCATTCCGATCCATTAATACGCGAGAACCGGGACGCTCATCTCTTGAAATTGGATTAGGCCGCGCAGTGGAATCCACTTAAAGGCGCGCCTCTTCCTCCCCAGCCCCACTGGTGTACACGTGTACATACACACGCTGTGCCGGATGATGTATACCGTGTACTCGCGATGCCGACGCCTGGCAGATTAGGATTGTAATTCAAGAGACGCGTCTCGAGGTGGCGGCGGTGGTAACGCGGGGGTAGAGAAACGATTGCCTACTCCCGGAAGATGAAGCGCCGTGACGTTTGCATCTCATCGTCGTTGATGGCAGGGGAGCGTAGGAGTACCCATCCGCGGTAAGGAGGTCGATATTTAATTGACGAGTCGTCGATCGATCAAACGATATTCTCGTGACTCGCGAAAAACTCGACAATCAATCAAGCGGCCAAGAGGACTATTACTCTCGTATTTGTAAAACAGCTCAACCGTATGATTTCCATACGCACTCGCGAATTATTTTCAACTTGAATTTTCAGTGACTTGGCTATACACGAGTATGTACCTTTGCAGGACGATCCAGCAGAAATTCCAACCCACACGCAGCCAGACACCCCAGGTACGTGTAAAAGCCACTTCAAACCTCTACGTCGCAGTAACGCAGTGAGGTCAAAAACTCTCGACTCGCGATATTAAATTTCGCGGTTCTGTCTCCATTGAAAAACGAGCGCGGCCAAAGGCAACACTATAGTAATAACAATACCACCGGCCGAGTGGTTGCGAGAGAAACGGCAAAAATGATAAATACGCTGTACTTATGCTCGTGGAAACAACGGATGATGTGCTTGCGCCTTCTTTTTTCCTGCATACAATTTATCCGTCATCCGTACAAGATTAGATTCCTTAGGAGTAGGATATTAGGTGGGTATACATGTAAGTATATGTATCGATCACTTCCGGGCAATCAAGAACGCGCACGGGCGCGAGTGAACAGCTACTGCTAATTAACCACATTGCTGCCTTTGCGCCGTTGTCGATCGAGACTCTGGTACAGAGGCAAGAGACGTCGGAGCGATTTATCGCCCTGTGAGCCCATGTGGGGAAGTTTGCGCGCAGCTGGTATCTGGTACGGATGTGTTGATTGTTTTTTTTTCTTTTTTTTTCTTTGTGACGTGTAAATAAGGAGCACAATTGCACCGAGTTGCCATTATAGCATGTCGGTGATCCGGAGGAAGAACCCGACATTCCGGGGCGAGGTTTCCGGTAAGATGTTGGGATCGTTGCTCGTAGCGATAGCCGTATGGACGTGGAAGCGGATTTATTTAATTTTATCATTGTATTTGCATAATCTAGAACGAATTTTATACTCGAGTAGTGCAGGGGAAGGCATGTTTTTGATATGATTTAGTTCAAAGTGTCATTCCTCTTGATGGTCTTACGCGCCAGCTGGGGCTTCTCTCAGCTGTCGCGGGTCTTTTATTTTTGCAGAACGATGATAATCTTCTTTTAATAGAGGAAGACTTGAGCTGTGACGGTGGAATACTGCTGGAGGCACGTGTAAGGGTGATGGATAGCTTTGCGTCGCGAACGTAATTTTTACCCGTGTTTTACAAAGTTCAGCGAACCTGGGCATTTTTTTTTTTTTTTTTTTNTTTTTTTTTTTTTTTGTTTCTTTTTGTTTTTGTATTTTTAATAAACACTTTTAACTCGTACACTGCCTCGCGTGTGTTATTTGTGAGAGGTGTGGATGAATTTTTTCACGCGATCGTGTATTATTTTTGAGAAAAATAATTGGAAATTCTAATGCGAACTGGCTTCAGGAAGTTTTCCAAGCTGTGTCCGAGTGGACAATATTTTGGAACAAAAAGTCCAATCTCGCTAGGATTGAATAAATTGAAATTTCCAAAAGCAACCCCGGAATTAGTTAACGTTTCGCTTATCCACTCGTCCAAAAGGTATACATGATTATACACGACACGAAATTTAATTGGAACCGTTTCGATGCAAAAATAAGCTGTTACCGCATCTTTAATTATTCATGCATGTGGATACGTAAAGGGTAAAAAAAAATATATATATATATATAAATAAATAAGAAAAGGAGAGGAGGGAAATAAACGAGTCTCTCGACTTTGCGCCAAGGATATGGCAATTATCCTGAACGTACATGCATTTCCCTATCGCCAAAAAGACCTTGGCTGCCTGCGCTTGTTCTCCGTGTTTCGCACGCACAAAAGGTAAGTGTACCATCATTATACAAATGCTGCAAGAAAGACGGACCGAAGGGTATGTATATATATTATGTACATCGAGATAGACAGACGCGCTTTCTCTTATCTCTGTAATGGGTACGTATGGGCGGTAGGTATATACTCATGCCTGTATCTGCTTGACCGATTTATTTTTAGACCCTCGTGTAACTTACCTCTCGCACGGCGCCTGGTGCCTAAATAAAATCATTACGCTTTCGATCGGACTGCCCGTCGAGCCTTTGTCCGTTGAATCGGTTACGCTTTCGAGTCTGGCGGTGAGCGAGTCTACGAACCTAGCCCGTTTTTTTTTTTTTTTTTTTTTTGTTCTACAACGGGTTTTCCGAAAAATATTGTAAATACCCACACGTATAGCCCCTGCTGATTTTTTACTCGTGATCATGGGAGGTCTGTCTTTTTTTTTATTGTTAATTTTTTTCAACATAATAGAAATATATGTGGCTATGCCATGGTTCCACGAAATCCTAAAATTAAATCATAAAAAAAAAAAAGTAATACTAATAATGGACTAGGACCTATTCTTTACTATTTGTAACAGAAAAAATTATTCAATTAAAGCATTATTTGTAATGTGTACAATACTTATTTGTTTCCCGCAATCTCTTCCGCTTACTGGACTAATCGCTTGATTCAATTTACTACAACAGATATGAAATTTAATACATCTATCACCTATAAATAGTCGTTGCCCATAATTAAATTCGAGTTGGCCCCTTGTAATGTAAAGAGGCCTTCCAAAAATTGTACCTGCTGGGGTGCTGTAGACTCCCCAGTGGTACGAGTAATAAATTGTTCATTAGCGTCAGCAGCAGTACCCTCACAAGACGATCATTGAATACTATGCTCCCGCTAGACAAGGACGGCAAAAATGTGGCGCTGCGTTTGTTATAAGGGGACGTTTCATCGAACTCACTTGCCGACTCGAAATGTTCTTTCGTCCATCTGGCAGTTGACGGGCAAACTACAGTAGCCGCGAGTAAACTTTGGCGGGAAATTTAAAAATTCTGATTTCACGGCACCACTTACAAGTTGTATGATTTCTGCTTTTAATTGAAATAAAAAAAAAAAAAAATCAATTTCAAAACAAACAGTGATGCAAACATATTTGATCAAACATTCGTCGATATTATCCTGGCCAGTTAACTCGAAATACATTTCAATTTGAGAGGTTTTTCCTTTAAATGAAAAAAAAAAAAAAAAGTCAATGTTATTTTACATCTACGAGCCACAAGTTATTTAATTACATATTGTTGTTTACAACTATTTGTAAATCAAGCAGATGTATCTTTTTTACTTTAAATCACGTTGAAGCACCCACCCAACCCCCTCACCCACGAATACACAAAGAAAAGCAAAATATAGCTCGAGACCTTTTAATAAAAATGAATCAAAAAATCGCACAGCACACACAGACACCAAACCATTGGTCAACAAATATTTGCCAAAGGAGGGTCATCGGCGCAGGTCATTATTCGCGAAATTTCGAGTGCCACCCTACGGTTGGGGGGGGGGGAGGAGGGATACTCTCTGCCTCCCTTAATCGACGACTGGGGCGCACATGGGGCCTCGCTTCAAATCAGCAGTCACCCCATACGTAGTCTGACTTTAATGATTGCAAGTCCGCGCGCGGCTGTGGATGGGGCGGTATAGGGCCCATTTTCGTTGAATTATTGAAGCGCATCACCTGTTTGTGCACGTGGCTGGTCTATATGTATGTACACGAACGAGAAAGAAAATCGAATTAAAACTCCGACAAACACAATCAACCCCCTTTTTCCAGGAGCCCCGTTAACGAGGAGGTGGCAAATTTCCCGAGTAATTGTTTAATTGAAATTTTTTTTTCTTTTTTTCTCATCCCCCGCTCTTTACTATACTCTACGGGTGGCAGCTGGGGAGCACGCCTCTGTGTGTTTTTCGTCTCCCTGCGTGCAGGCGTGAGTCTAGGCACAACACCTCCTCCCTCCTAGCTCTTGCTCTCGACCTAACGAAGCGTCATTTTGACCATTTGGTTTTTTTCCCTTGTCTATGCTCCGAAAAAAGAGTAACGGAGAGGCCAGACATTTGTCCAGCCTAACTCGTGCATCTGACACGAATAGGTGTACTACAGCTCTGTATAGCCCAAAAATTCTCGCTATTCCAAACTAATGAGGATCATGGCCGTATCCTCTTTGACTACCTCGTAAAGATAAACTTTTCGATACCCCGCGAAATAATAGCGACTAACGGAGAGAAGGTGAAAATAATTTAGAGGCCATTTACGCAGAGATAAGCGCGGGCCCTTGGATCGCGAGCATTGGCTGCATTATTGCGGTCGGGGCTCATGAATGACAAAATTTTTCGCCCACAAACGCCCCAAGGAGAGGCCCTCGCGCATAAATCACTCTCGGCGCCTTTTTCTTCCTCCCCCCTTTCATCGCCGAAATTAAAGAGGGGAGCTTGACAAATGAATTCGGCCGGCAGGGGCTCTCGATAAAATTGCCTCTTCCCCGCGCTGTAATGTACCCTCTCTCCGTGATGTCTACTGCGTTGCTTCCCTTCCGCGATGGAGACGCGACGTCTAGGTGTCAGCGGGAGAGGAGGCCGGAAATGAAGGCAATACGACGGAGTCGGGGTACCTCGGTTTTACAGGCTCGAAAAGTTTGGCTCGCGAGTGTACAAACCATCTCCGGTTCAGACATTTTCTCGTTTCAAACACGGGCAACTTCCGCCAACCCGATTGGCCCAAACTCTCTCGACTCCACGTTACGAAATGAGATTGCACGCTGGTTATCCCTGGTTTAAAAAAAATCCGAAAACCAATTAAAACACCGACCTTCAGCGAAATCAGCACATACGCGCCCATAGGAACTCAAGCTCGCGTGTATAGCTCAAAAGTTAGTGCTGTATTACACCGGCATCTGTTGCTCTCCTATGTTTTTTTTTCTCCCACTCTGTAATTCGATACATCGAATACGTACGTGTATAGGTGTATACAGGGACGATTTATCTGGCTGTTTGACACCGAGTCGATCCGCGGGGGGTCCTCGTGATAAATTTTCCGCCTCGTCGGTGCAGGCGAGAGACTTTTCCTCGGCTCCCCCCCCCCCCCCCCCATATCCTCTATCAGATCTATTTCCTTGGCCAGCTCTGCCCCGGTTGATTCTTTTTTTCCCTCCCCCTTTCCACTTCTGTGACGAGCGATTATAACTCCTTTTTTTTCCCCAACTCCGCTGCGATACATTTTTAATCAGATTTGCAGTCACGACGAGAAACTCTGCGCACTTTCTTTCCATTTAATGAAGTAAAAAAAAAAAGAAATAAATAAATAAANATCCCAAAAAAATATCCCGTTTTTTTCCTCCATTTTAATAAAAAAAAATTTTTTTTTTTCAGGCACACCTTTGAGATTAAGCTCATTTTACTCGTAATGACGTGTACTATGAGGAAAAAATTTTGAACGCGGGTTTCAGTGAGGGTGTCAACATATCCCGAAAAATTTGTTTTATTAAAATGGGGGACAAAAAAGGAATTTTTTTTTTTTTTTCGTGGATCTCCTCATATACATATGTATAATCATAGTATCTCTCTTATCATTAAACTGCGCGCAGTATACGTGAAGTTAAATACCCTTCCGCGAAATATCCCTTTTACGATCTTTTCAAAAATACTTCAACACTCCCCACGCTGTACGCAGTAGTGCATCGAGTTCATTAAGAGCCGTGACGTCGAAATCCTTCGAGTAATTAATATGTATAAGCCTTCGCCGTTAAGTATGTACACCGTACTTGTGAATGTATACCTATATATATATATATACACGTGTATTATTAAGTGTATGAAAAGTCTTAAGCGCCTTGGGTATATGAAATCCGGGAAAAAGCGAGATCTTATAGTCAAAGCAACGGGTACCCGTACTTATTACATTCACTTGTAATTAGTCGCGACGCGACTACAAAGGCCATCGATTTTCCGAAATGTAATTAATTAAGGGCCATCTCTGACGCTCCTAGGTATCATCATATACTTTAAGAAGATTTGCAGTCGATTCACAGAGAGTAATCTCGCAATGGAAAAAAAAAAAAAAAAAAAAAAAAAAACGGTATCCGCTGTTCTATTTGACGAGTGTACATATATACAGTTGGACTGTAAATCGGCCACGAACAACTCGTCAGCGGAGGAGGGGGTCCGTAAGCCAAATGCCGCGCCAACGTCGCAATCAATTTCCATCTTTCCGTCGCATTATTTATACAGCGAATACATTACTGCAAATGTTTTGCCTCTTCCTCCTTGGCCTGGAGCATACCATCGAGAACGATTCCCCAGCCGGCACACCGTCCGATCAAACGTAAATTCGATTTATAAAGATACACCATGTGTATATACGTATAAGTTTACACGTATACGTATATAATATGATAATAAATAAATAAAGAAAAATAAAGAACAGTTCCGTCGTCGAGTAAGCTCCACCGAGAGCGCGTCAACTGCGCGACAAAAGCTATCAAGCCCGACGTAATTACGTCTGAAAGAAAGTATCAAGTCCAATGATATATTTATCCGCGGACAATGCGCCCATTGAGTTTGCGGAGGTAATAACCAAACGCCAATCCTGCTCACGAGCGTTGTATCCATGTGCTCGTTTGGTGAAAGAAAAATGACAACTATAACGACGCATACATGTAAGGCACAGTATTACGAGGAAGCGGTACTTATATTGAAGGGCAAACCCAAAGAAAGACTAGTTATAGAACTTTTCTTTTTTTTTTTCTTTGCAAAGACACATCACGCGTGGGAGCACTGTTACCTTGGAATTAATATCATTCGGCCATTTGACCCTAGAAAACGTCCATATATATCCAGTTGGCGCAGGGGAAGCAATTGCGCGAGTTTCAAGTACGCACGTGGGACACATCGAGAGCCCTGAAAACACTGGAAAATGGGGTGTGGGAGGGTGGTAAAAAAATTGAGAGAGAGAAAAAAAGAGAGCTCAGAAGGGATGAGAATTAATTCCCCGGAGAATATACGTACAGCCGGTCGTGCGTTAAAATTGCGCGTGCGAGTGTCGCTTGCCTAATACGGCTGCCTACGGATAAATTAGGATAGTGGCATAAATAAAGAGGGTCGGGGCGAGCTGGGTTCATACAGCCCAGTGTTGGGGAAACACTTGTGATGTTGTTGACTCGAACACGCGAGAGAGAGCCAGCATTTCCGGATGCCGGGAAACGGATGTCGGGGCGAGAGGAGATAGAGAGAGGGTGTGGAATCTCTCTCGCGCAGCTCGGCGTCAAAGAGAGAGAGAGAGAGAACGGCTGACTTTTGGCGTGCGAGGGCCATGTTAATTTTATCCGAGTAAATGCTGCTCCGGGTTGTTATATGTACGCCCTGAGTTTGTACGTACATAATACGTGTATATATGCTCGCGAGAGTTAATTGTCGTTGGGTGACAGGGGGAGGGTGTACATGTACAATTGAAATGTCATTATCGTCCTTGCGCTGCTGTTATATACTCGCACCCTTCGAGTATATAGACGCATTTAGAGACGCTCTTCTCTGGTGGGGTTAAATTTTCCCTCTATTGAAATCCACCTGATCTGCCGAAGATGAAAAACATTTGTGTACTCTCGCCTTGTATTCAAGGATCAAAGGTCAAATAAAAACTCGCCCAAGGGAGCGGGGGGGGGTGACGAGCGCAAACACTAGTATTGGTGTCGGTGTCTAACATCGCTGTGTGTATCCTTTTCATTCGTGTCTAACCCCCGCCTGGCATGTATGGGGGAGAGTGGAAGATTGGCCGGGTTATGGGATGTCGTAAATCCACCGGCGACACGCTCGCGTGGATACTCCCTGCTAAACGTACACACACGTGTTGTTGTCTCTCGTGTCGTCTTCTCATTCTTCTATCCTTTTTTTTTCTTTCATTTCTCGTTTCGTCGGGGCCAACGATTCGCGTCGATTTCCACGTGCACGCGCGTGATCGCCCCGACGAAACAGCGCGTTTTAAAGTGGATTGGGATGTATTTATGGGGACACGGAATTGCCCGGGTTTTCTTTGGCTCGATCGACAATGGGAGCGCGTGATTGTGCATTATTCGCCAGGTCTAAATACCGTGCGTTGCTGAAAATACGTTTTCGCGCACTATCTCTACAGTTTGTTTTTCAATTGATTTTCAAACTTTTCGTGACGAAATTTGTGTCTTTCTTCTTCTTGGCGTCTTCGTACAGCCCCTAAAAAACACCATTACAAAGCATCCTACTATTTCCAATGGTATATACCATAGGGTGTGCAACAAAAGCAATCGGCTACCAGGTCACGGAGCCCCAAGCCCGTCGGATCGTTTGACCAAAGAGGGGCAGCCCGTATGCACGTAGCAGTCGATGCGTGACGCAACGACGATGTCTCGTCCGATAACGGATGGGCATAGCCAACGGGGGTGGCTCTCCATGATACGTTTCTAAGCACTGTATTCATGCACAAGCGAATCACCCATCGAACAAAGAGAGAAGGACTTTTACGTGGTTTTTGCGTTGATTTTTCGTTCTTGCAAGAAAAAATAAACATAATTGTATTGTATAAATGATTCCGCGAGAAATCCCAACTGGAGTAAAACCCCAAGCATCCCTCAAAAGAGTGCACCGAGTGTTATGCCAGAGTCAGAAAACCATGGCTTTGCTTTGTAGATTTTCGCCGAGTTGGTCACTGCAAGAGCGAACTAGTATACAGTGCACGTATACCGCGACTCACAGAAAGTTTATTGGACCATGAACGTTTTAATTGCACTGTAGGGATATATAACGTGAATGATTTAAAAATGTCCAGTGTTGTATGCACGTTGCAGGAAATTTCTTTTTTAATTAAACGTCCGCGTAACGATAAATACAAGTATCAGCCCAATTGGTCAACCAGGTAAATATGAGCACAAAAAAAAACTATATGTACTTACCATGTAACGCTTTCAAGTAGGCCTTTCCCGCGTTGATCAGTTGCCTCGCTCCTGGATTGAACTTGTCCAATATGTTCTGAAACGAGAAAGAAAAAAGAAACATTCGGATTAGCGCTCGTGTCAATACGCCGATTAAGATACTAAGTATATACATCAGCCCAGTTGAGTAATCAGTGCCTATTAGACGCGTCAAGTCTCACGTTCGATTAAATTAGCCCTTTAGCATATGTACATTTACGTCAAAGGTCGAGGATGGCTTTTAAAATCGTGTTCATCGAGGAGCTTACAATGGCCGGCAAACGAAGCGTCGCAAAATCATCTGATCGGGAAAAACAAGTGTGCCAAATCACGGCACATAAGAGTAACAAACGGCCCCAATGATCCCCGATACATTCCAACCACGTGCATATACATATACATGTATATATATATAAATCAGTGCAGGGTGTACGCGCAAACGGTGTCATGAGCAGCGCTATAATTAATGGCCACCCGGAGGGACGGTGCGCCCGCAAGCCTCGACCAAACCACCACCACCACCTATAACGCACTATTGAGTTCGTCACGCGGCTCTGGTTAATCAGATCAGGGCGGCTACCCCCACCCCCTTTGCTCCCACGCGTGCATCGATCACGTTTAGAGCTGGGCCCTGTACTACGTTCCGATACACTGGAGACCGCCACGACAATACTGTTTTCACGCCGAAGAATCTATACACAGCTGCGCCGCACAATGTGTCCATTCCCCGAGGATTTCGATTGCCCCACGACCGGCCGGCTAATTGGGATTCTCAATCGCATACGTGGTGCATTGTAGATGCTTACCTTCGACAATGAAAAGGTGTTTGGGAGGTGGGTTCGGGGATTATCGTACAATACACCTAAGGGGTGCCTTGGAAAATGGCCAAAGTGTGCGCAGTGAGGATGCAGTAGACATATACGTGTAATTGTATGAAGCGTGGCTGGATACCTTTGAGCCGAGATGCGTGTCTCTGGTTGGACAAAATTGTAAAAGCACCAACGCACTTTCAAAGAGTACGCGATACGCAGCTGGCTCTTTTGGATAATCCAGCCCTGAGGTGGTGGTGTACGGGAGCAGTGAGGTGTCTCGTCTGTGGCACGACCGCAGTGGGATCGGATGAGAGCGAGAAAGGAAGGGCCGTGGCGCTAAACTTGGGGGGCTGAGTCGAGCTGGTATTCAAGCTTTGTGACGACTGCTGTGTGCCTTTGACACCTCGTCCTCCTCGTCTTAGGCACGATGCCGCTCCTCACGCCTTGGACGGATCGACGGACACGTGAACTCTGCCCTCGGTTGGGTTTTCCTTTTTTTCTTTCTTTTCTTTTGTCTGTAGAGGGCTTTTTCTCTCGTTTCCTCTTTCTCCCTCCGACTTTGATCCCCTTTTGGGTGGAATATTTTCGAGAAATTACGTGCTAAGGCTGAAACTAAGGTGGTACACATGGAGTACTAGTTGGTCATAACGGACCGCTAAACAAGCATATAGAGATCCTTTGCTGCGTTTCACTGATAAATAAAAAAAAAAGAATACTAATCTTTACAACCCGATACCCTACTTCCAAGTCAATTTACTCATGTATGGACTCTTGTGTGGCAGTAAATAACATTTAAAGACGTGACTCCTCCATTACGTTCGATAAAACGTACCGTCTCTCTTTCGAGATGAGAAATGTCCATCGTGCCTTTCTAAACGCGTTGGGTAATGAATAGTTCGCATTCCACGTATGCAATTGCAGCCCGTGTTGCGCACGAAATGTAATACGTACGGCTTTTGAGCCCCGTAATTATTGAATCAAGGCCCCATTCAGCCATCACTCGTACATCGTCATCCCAACAACAACAACTTGGCGTAATCACAAGAGAGATAGATACACGGAGCCTTCGTTTTCCACGTCAATCTAAATTGCCAAACAGCTCGATCGCGAGCCACCCGTCTGTCGAACAATCGCTCGCAGACACAACGGTCCTCGGACTAAAGATCGGGCTTGTGCGTTCGACTGGCGTACGTTGGTATTCCAATAAAGATATGCCTCCCTCCCAACAAAGAGCTCCCCCAAATTGACCTCCCGAGGAGGGCCGCGTTCAATATCCTCGGTGACTCAGAGCTCGAAACCCAATAGCATCGGCGAAGACACGGGGGACACCTCCTCTCTCTCTCTCTCTCTTTTCTGCGTTATTACCATCTGAAAGCGAACCACCACCAACACTGGAGGAGTAGCTCGAGTTTCCTTCCCTCTTCCTTAGCCCCGTCGACGTCGTTTTCACGGCGGCGCCAAGATATTACGCTATTAGGGGATTATTTTAATTAGGAAGTTAAGTTAAACTATGAGCGAGCGAGGGCTGCGCCGACGCCCGAGGGCCGGTTTACGCGCGAGGCTGCTCGCGTACAGTAGAGCACTGAGGGGGGGTATTATCAAACATTACAACCTCTTCGCTCCTCCTCCGTGTTCCTTTCCACGTTCTTATACAGCGTTACCTCGAGCGCGTAACTTCTGATGATCCCATCATTTTGGGTTGTGATTACGGTTATCGTTTGTGCTCGGGTACGTCGCGTGTTTTTTTTTTTTTTTTTCCCTAAAAGGACGCGAAAACTAATAAGAAAAAAGAAAGTAAGGTTTTTTTATTGTGCTCTGGACGGTGAAGGCAAATTTATTCCGTAGTCCTCGTCCTTTTTCTTCCAGCTCACCGAGCTCCCGTCGACCGCCCCGTCCACGTGGATTGACACGGGCCCGAGATAGCGCGCCGAGGCAAATTAATCGAGACCGGGGGAAGCGAGTAGTCCAAGCTCAATCAAAACAACAACAACAACAACAACTCGCAGGAACAATAACACACAAAACTATTTGCACTAATCTGGCAGTGTCCATCCCACCCCATTCTCTGTCTGTTTATCACCTGTACACCCCGACTCGATGTGGCTTCTCCCTCTGCGCATCGAGCTCGACTCGTGCAACTGACGCTGCACGAAGTTTCGCAGGCCTGGCTGTGTACACCCGCGGTTACCGCCCGACACACCGTCTATACCAGGAATTATCTCGAAATTACTTTGGATACACCCATACCCCGCGTCGACTGGGCTTTCGTTTACGCGCTTGTCCGCGAGAGATCTGCCATGGAGACTTTGCGTGGTCGCTTTGATTGTCACTCGGTCCATCGTCTACCCTGCGCGTCACGAAAATCGGATGGCTCCCAGAGTTGACATATAGGTACCCCAGCTCTAAGAAACTCATCTCGTTCTCTCGCCTCGGAAGAGATGAGCCTCCAAGTCAAACGAACCCTCGCTTTTCTTCATAATTTCAGTAAAAGTGGAGGTTCCAATTGTACCCGGAAGCGTGAGAAAAAAACATAACTCGACGCTCGCAATTTCTCAGCTGTGGCTTTAAAAACCACACTGCCCTCTTATCTCTTGCTTTTCTTCGCAGGGCATTTCTTACATTCCGTGGCCGCGGTGAGTGTATATAAAATATGCGTCCGGGGTAACGCTTGTAAAAATAAGCCTCACGTGTAAATGAAAGTCTCATACCCCATGGCCTCTTTCGTAAAATTGGGGCTATACGACGAATGCCAATGGTCTCGAGGTTGTGTAGCATTTGATCCACCCACGACCCTCTAGAGGGTCACACTCGGCTTCTCCTTTCTTTTTCTCTCCATCTCCAATCATCGCCCCTGCAAAGTATAAGAAGGGGCCCCGGGGCTCTCGTAAAACTCGCGCGTTAAGGGCGCATTAACCCACCTCCGCGCACGCCATAATGGCCAATTTACCCGATTGTGGTGTGGTGGCGAGTACATATTATACAGCCATGTGTATAAGGATTTGTACGTATAGGTATAATAGGCGAGGCCCCGCATACCGTTGCATCGACTCGCGAGATATTACATATTATGTGTATAGCTGCTGTATACGCTATTCCATTGCGCAACCGCCATACCGCTGCGGTTTCTATTTGTGGCCGAGTGGGTGCCCCCCCCCCTCCCCCCTGTCTCACTTCTTTGTATATTATGCAAGTTGCTCGGACTTTGTTTTGCGAGGATAAAATATACACTTATCGGGTGATATAGTTGTGAACATGTAATAGCACTTTTGGTCTTCGTTTGGAGAAAAAGGGACCATTTGGCTTCTGAGTTCGATCGTTGAACGGCAATGTGGGCCGCTCACAGAGCGGTTGGACTTGCGAAACGCTCACCTGCGCATCTCGTGGACACGTAACGTATGATTACACCCGTGAAACAACAGCAAAACTTGGAAATTCGAGTCGGGGGGTTAACCGGTTTGCGTTGCGAGGCTTCAATGATGATCCAAGCGAGTGCGTTACCGTGTAATCATAGTCAGTCCTGCCGATGCACGATCTTTGGGTTTTCAAGCCTCTGATGCGTTGTTGATGAAAAATTGATTCTTTTTTAATAACTCACTCCCCCCCCCCGCCTCCTTTGTTGTGTGCTGAGTTTTTAATTGCCTGCGAGCTGCATCATGTCGTCGTTTATCTTAAAAACTGTCAGGTCGTGACTCGGATGAGAAAAAAGTGTATAAATTATCACCGATTGTCCATCGAATAAGTCATTTGGGTAAAACAACAACAACGGGAAGTTATCCAAAATTCGATACCCCATCCGTCGAGTTTCAAACTCCCGTTTTGGCGATAAATCGGCAATAAATCTAGATTACGTACCGAAAAAAATCGGTATTTCAAAACTACGTCCCGTGTGTCAAATCCATTGGAGTATGGTGTTCATCATCGCCGACACACGTTGTTTTTGTGTTTCTGCTCGCAAATTGTCCCCCTCCAGGCGTATAATACGAAAAAACAGCCGATAGGCATCAGCGACCAGTCGATCCCTCATATTCTCCCGGCTCATTCCGGAGCGTCCCGTTGGAAACCAGTTGGCCGTGCTCCTTTTTTTTTCTGTAAGGTTTCAATTTTTTGTACAATTTCCATCCTCGAGCCTTGCCGGGGAAGAAAAGGAAAGCCGAGAACGCGCCGGCTGAAAGAGGTGCCGTTATCAGAAGCCGCAGAGGAGGAATAATAACGATCGGAGCGATATCGGGGGAAGTGGACGAAAAAG